TGCTTGAGAGCCACAAATGACCTGGATGGACAGGACAGGGAAAAAGTCAAGATGCGTAAAAGACTGCATCTTTCCATCTTCTTAGAAATTAAACCTTAATTACATTAGCATTTCTGAATTTCATACTTAGTCCTCTTGATTGAAATTTCATTTAATTCTCTGTCTTTCCCTCTGTATTCTAGAAGCAGAAATGTTTCTCAAAGGTCGTTAATGGAAAGGAGAAAAGCGGTTCCCTTGTGTATCTCTGGAGCCTCTAGCTCTCTTGTGGATTCTTTAGTGCTCTCAAAGCCAGGAGCTTCACAGCTTCAGTCTTCCAATTCCAAATGTTACCTTACAAGATAGCATGATTTTATTTTACCATTATTATTATTATTAACTACAGTAATCCCCGCTCACCATCAGGTTGACATGCATCGCCTCAGTCCAAAGACAAAACTTCTCATCGGCGGCTAACTCATTCAACTCAAAGAGCCCCTCACCTTCATCGAAGAAATCTCCTGGAAGCATACCTTCGACTTGAATTGCCCTAATAGTACGTTGAAAAAATATATATATATATATATTATAATTATCTCTATAAGAACTTAAACATTAATATAAAATAAAATTTTTGTTATACGAAAACGTTTTCGTGGTCTACCAACCCATCTCTCCCTTATAAAACTTGTCAAAAAAATTTTATTATTCATTGTCAGTCAAGTGCGGCTGCTTGGTAAGACAGCATAATTTTATTGAAAAACAAAGATTTTTAAAAGTAAAAGGTTACTTTCAATGTTCAAAGATTCCACTACATTAAAGAGGATTAAAATTGTTTGAATATTCAAATGACTTTCAAAACTTCCATTTTCGATGGTAAAGACTTTTCAAAACTAAAAGCTAGGTCAAATAAATTTTTGCTACCAAGCGTCTAGATTATACAAAATTTTACTGTTAAAACTTCCTTGATAAATTTTCGAGTATCAATTTTTTAAGATTATTTTTTTACGAATTTTTATTTATTTTTTTGCAAAAATTTTATTTAAAGAACACCCGTACAGAAATTACGAAGAAGCAAAATATAATAATATGATAATAATTCAAGTTACGGACATAGATTTCCATCTTAGGTATTGGCATTGGAATTTCTGTATTTAATTGCAGTAAATGGACTCTGTTGCTCTGCAATTTCTACAGATGAATATACATAAATTCCCCAGTCAGTCAGTCACCAACTTGTTATAACACATCATAAATGCTCCAGTGGTGTGGTTTCCTGTTCTTGGCTTCTAGTCCTGGCAATCCGTTCAACCCCCACCCCGCCAATCCCCATTCTAGTTTTTACCAAGAGCTTTGGTTTTCTGTAAAAAAGTTTAATCAGTGTTCATGTTTAACAGCTTAGAAGCAGCAGTTTATATGTAACATTGCTTAAAGATTTTCATTCTTCTCCATAAATAAAGGCCAATATCAATTTGCTTTCTTGTTGGAATTGAGAGACTATTTATTGATCCTGGTGGAGTGTCATACTACCAATTAAAAGTGCATAGAAATATCAAGATGAGTGATTCAATGGGAAAAGTGTTGGGGAGTCAATCTGGCCGGAACTTCGGCAGAGTCTTTGCTCCTGAAGATATCATAATCTTCAACTTAGAAATGTATTGGGGAATGCATAGCATAGAAATATGTATCAGGATATGAGGATGAGTGATTCAAGGAGAAAAGTGATGGGGAGTCAGTCCGGCTGCAGAGTCTTTTTTTTTTTTTTTTTGGTTTCTCGCTCGGTATCCAGGGCTTTGCTCTGATTAATCCAAACCCGACCCGCGTCGCACTTGAAAATGGTGAGTGAGTCTCCCAGCGAAGACTGTTGCATCCACAAAATCTCGAATTCGAAACTTTACTTAAGTTAGAATAAATCACTTACCACTTAATCCAATCCCTCGTTGGTAGAGTCTTTACTCCTAAAGATATCATAATCTTCAACTTTTGGTGAGTTTTTACTCAACCACACTCACAATCCTGACAGAGAGCGCACATATAATAATGTACGGACACATAGGAGAAAATACTACCTTGAACCTGAAAAAATTGCATAAATATTCATGAGCCCCACGTATATATTGCACTTTTTCAGTTTATTTTCCTTAATTTGATGTGGGATCTTACGTTTCACCTCACACGTAAACAGTTACTCCAACAAAGAGACCTAACCAAGGGTACTGGAAATATCAAGCTGCAGCTAACAATTAATGCACTTAGCAGGACCACTATTTGCTATCCTGCCCACAGGCACAGAGAAAAGGGTCTTCTAAGTTCTAATATATTTTTTTTGCTTATGGCCAGGCATTGGGGCAGAGCTGCTGTCCTCTTTACACAACTTGATAAGAACAATACTACATGAAATAGGATTTACTCACGTATATAATGCATTTCCTTGGATCCTAAGACAGCTGCCTTAGCATTCTCTTTTAAAAGAAATAGAAATAAATGCACTGTCCTTAAATAATGGTGGAGTTCTAAAATCACTACCATTTTTCTTATTGTATATTTTACATGGTATTCGGACAAATGCCTCCTGACCCTACTGACCCTGAGTGGTACGAGAATCTGTGACTCCTCATTTTGTAATTCACGCATGGCATGAATTTGGTTGCTTTGAGAGCCCTGACCCTCATAAATGTCTCTGTCTATTCCTCACCCTATAAAAGCTTGTCTTGCTACTTCATTTCCAAACAAGTTCTTATTTGTTTCACATGTTAAAATAACAATGAAATATCTAACTTACTCCACTTATTATTAATTGGTTTTACGTTAGGTATAAATTTTGTGTTGAATGGAGGGTATTTCGAGCTTGTTTGTAGGCCCTCTCAAGTGTAATTTAGGTGTTAAGAGAATGTATTCTTTCTGGTTTTTTGCTGCAATGGGAGGTCCTGGAATTGGGTTTTTTACTAGAGTGATGAAGAAAACTTTGTTTGCTGCATTCACATGCATTCTTGCATTAAGTAATGCTTCTTTTACGTTAATTCAATATACTGACTACATAAAACTAAGATTTTGGCTTTCTAACGGTAAATTAGAAGGAAATGAACTACACACACATATATATCCTAATATTTTCCCGGATAGAACTCAGGCGCCTTGTTTCTTGTGTTGTGGCTATGGTGGGAATCATAGTAGGAGCAATGAAAGGACAGACAATAGAAACTGGGTTTTTCCGGGGTGCTGGAATAGGGCCTGTGGCAGGCGCCATCACAGCAGTTCAGTCGCTGGAAAGCCTTGCATCAATGGCTGATACGGAGTCCTTGTCCAAGGTAATTTCCTAACTCTTCTAATGTTAAGGCTTTTATCCCCTTCAATTGGAAAACAACATAATAGTCTCAGTCTTTTTTATGTTTGTTCCAGCAGCTTGCAGTACTACTGGGTAGCTTAGTAAGTGGGAAGATTTTCACGGAATTGGTAAGTCCTGCTGCGCTCAATGCTTATCAATATCAAGTAAGTTCTGTAGATATAAATATATAATAATATCAAAAATGTCCTTTATAGTCTAAAGTGTATTGAACTGCAAAACACGAATAGTCAGAGGAGAGGTAGGCCTCATGATATTGGAGGCTCTTCCCATCTGATGGTCTCTGTTTTGTAATTCAATACAATCTGAACTACAAAACAGCGGATTCTAATAATATATATACTAATGTAAATTTTCAGCAGGCAATTAAGCAGCAGCGTAGTTTTATTCACTTTTCTGATGAAACATTCAATTCTTTTTCAGATGAATTCACTGGAATCCACCCATAGAGAAATGTCAGACATTTATGATGTCAACAGGATTATTAAAGAGCTGTCCAAAACTACCATCCTACAGCTTCCTGTCTTTGTGTATCAATCTAGCAATAACATTGAAACATGGGATGAATCTTCCTGTTCCATCTGCTTACGGGTAAGCATAGACGAAGAACACAACACAACATGAAATGCTAAGAGTTAAAAAGAGCTTAGCCAGAGTTAGTTCCGTTGAACTTCTAATTCCGGGGTCAAGTTTCGGAAGTTCACACCTCAGCATGTTCACTTATTTGCTAATAAAAAATAGAAACATGGAAGGCTAGAAATATGATAGCTGAAGCCGAATCCTTTCCTTTTTGCAGGAGCCAAAGGATGGAGAGTTAGTAAGAAAGCTACCAAAGTGTGGGTATTTCTTCCTTATGAAGTGCATAGATGAATGGCTAATCAGGCAGGGACCATGCCCTATGTGAAGAGAACATGTTTTTAATGATCCAGAGTAAGAAGCATTGTAAATTTTGAAACTTCTGATATACCGTAACCAGAAGGAAAATTTGGTGACGGCTTGATTTTGTGTTAATTTTTAATTAATGAATTGCCATTAAAAAAGGTCTCTTTGTCTCATGTTCTACATTTAAATTGTTGGACTTTGATGAAAGACATAAAACTTATGTCGGAACTGAAGAATTTGCAAGAAAAAACAAGGACCAGAGATTTCATTTGTCAAAATGGGAACTATTTCTGAACCGACAAAAAGACGCAGTCGATCTCTTTAACCTCACTGAAACCCTGAAGAGCAGCTACCGAGTTTCAGGCAGAGAAAAAGGGGAAGAGATGGCTTGGTGCAGTCTAAGATCGCTCAATGTCCCAATGGCTGATATGGGCGCACTGCGCACTCGTGCTCCTTTGGCGGTTGCCGGAATCGCGGCTGGTTCTGCTTTCTGGCGGTCTTCTGCCAAAAAATCGTCTCGTTTTGCTTGCTTGAGCATCTCCAGTTCTTCTGGTAAACTAAATCAAGAACCCTTCTGCTCTTCAAAAGAATGGTCTCTTAACTTTATTTATACAAGTCTGATCAATGGGTTTATAGTAGAAAATGTCTGTTTGGGGTGAAGTAAAAGCTATCAGTTTTTGCGAATTTGTGGACTTTTTTATGAGTACTGAAATCTGAAAATGAATGGAATCAAATCAATAGAATTTTTGAAAGGTGGGGTTTTTTTTTTTTTTTCTTGAGTTTTCTTTTTCAGAAATGGTGGTTTTGTTTCTTGGATGAAATGCTTGTTATTGTGCCCTAAAATGTGATGTAATTAATGGAAATGCAAAAGAAAAGAAAAACCTTTGGATTCTTATGAGTAGATATTGATGGTTAATTGAAATGTGTAAGGATTTTGGAGTGCTTCTATACTTGGATGACACAAAATGTATTGCCAGTTCAGTGATATTTTTTGAACATTAGACCGGAGTTCTATTGATTTTAGCAATTTTGTGCACTAGTTTACTCCATTATGCAAGTTGGACTAAGTAAATGAGAGTTTAAGAGAAAGTAGGATGATGCTTTTGCGTGATTGTGGTTCTATGAGTAAGACTAAGTATCGTGTTATTTAGCATTTAGTAGAATTAATATCGTTAGGTTTATCATCCCACCTACATTTCTTTAGTATTCTAGTTAATTCTTTTCTCTACATCTGTTGTTACAGGCTCTCTTTATAAATGGCTCTGATGATTAATGCTCTTAATTGCAGTCATAAAGGAGGCAGTTGCAACAGAGAAAGCTCCAGCTGCATTAGGACCTTATTCTCAGGCCATCAAAGCCAATAACCTTCTCTTTGTCTCTGGTGTGCTTGGCCTTATACCAGAGGTTTGTGGCATGTTGATTGTGGATGCTTGACATGTTAATAATTATTATCTGGTATTCGATTTTCATTCAATATAATGATTATATTGTTATTGCATTGCCAGACTGGTAAATTCATCTCGGATAGCGTAGAGGATCAAACAGAGCAGGTAAATTGCTAATATATAAACTAAAGATTTCATTATCATTGATTTGGGTTTTATGCTCTCATGTGGTTTTTATTATGTACCCTTTTGCAATTATGATGGAATTGGGTTGAATATCCATCTATCCTTTCATTAACAGCAAAAATGATAGGTTATATAATGAAATAGTTTTGTGGTGATTGAGTTGTTTTATTGGAAAATGAGAAATGAGAATTTAGAGGCATATATAATGCAGCTTCATGGGTTGAGGTTTTGCAAGTTCAATCAAATGGTTACAGCTGTGAATGCAGTTTGAGTAACCTCTAAGACAAAGTCAATGCCTTAATGGTTCTAGGCATCTTAATCCTTAGTTTTAGCCCAACTTTTAGAATTGAATAAACTTTTGACTGTATGTCAGTCAAAAAAATTATTCTTAATTCAATGTCTGACACCAGATTAACGCTTCTTTATTTTAGGATCATCTTTTTTTTTCATGTCAAAATGATTTTAATTTTTTTACCTTTAAAAAAAATCCTTTTGATACGTTATATGATTCTATTAGATTATTACTCATGCCCAATTCACCACAAAGAAGTATCATGTAGTTATTCCATTGGTTTTGTGCTGCTTAACCATGTGTGCCCAATTTTCAAGCTGAAAACATATTTTTATTTACTTATATGGATCTGCAGGTACTCAAAAATATGGGTGAGATACTGAAAGCTGGTGGTGCTGACTATTCCTCTGTAGTGAAGACAACAATTATGTAGGATTATTTTCCACTTTGTTATGCCATTTTGATTGTTAGGGGTTGAGAATTAGTAAGATTGACTCACTGAGATCTTATATTGTTTTCTCATGCAGGTTGGCTGACTTGAGTGACTTCCAGAAAGTTAATGGGATCTATGCTAAATGTAAGTCTGCTAGTTGATTGGTTGAAACTTGTGTTTTTAAGTTTTCCACCAATTTTTTCAAAAAGCATCCCTTTTTTTTCTTTTTTCTTTTTTCTTTTTTCTTTTTTCCTTTTTCTTTTTTGCATGTTAAATGGTGAGCTATACAACGAGATGGCCCTCCCCACCCATCTTAAGATTCAAACTTGAGACCTCCAACATGGAGACTCAAGTTCTTAGCCACCATGACGTCCCCTAGGGGATCCCAAAAAAAGCATCACTGTTTGCAATGCGTTGACAGAATCAAATAGGCAAATCTGATATATCATTACTTCGTATTTGAGTTTTTAAAAAAGTGAATTATACTTCAGTCTCCCAGTGTCAATTTGGCTTGTCACTATATCTGGTATCAAGCCTAAGCAGCTACTTTGTGGGCTATGATGGATACTGACTGACATTTGATGGAAATCTTTATGGGTTTGTTTCAAAACTCGAGGGTTTTCTGTAAAATAGTCTTTACAGTTCCTGCACATTCATTGAGTATCGTATTAGTTTAAAGTCTCACATTGTTTTTGAGGAATGTAATTACCATTTTCAGGAAACTTTTGACTCCCCGAAGTTCCATCTTTCATTCTTTTATTAGCTGCCCTTGATATCAACCAAAACAAGAGATTTTGTACTCATGCTAATAAACTGGTTTGTTGCAGACTTTCCTGCTCCAGCACCAGCTCGTTCAACGTATCAGGTAGCAGCATTGCCCCTGAATGCCAAGATTGAAATCGAATGCATTGCTGCACTCTAGGCCACCTTGAGGAGAAGTTTTCGGCTGACAGAGTCAAGTTTAATAAGATTAGGAATTTGTGAGCGTTGGAATTTAGGGAGCTCCAACTTTTCTGTATCACAGCTATTGGCTGGACTTGGAAGCCTGGAACACAATTTAGCTCTTAGAAGTTTTAAACTCTAAAGCTGAAATTGCCAACTTTTATTTGTCAAAATGCAGTCCTCTTTTTCATAAAATGTGACATTTCAGTCCTTTCTATTGAGTAATCAATGATTCATCTCTTTTTTCTGATTTTCTTTTTAATTGTTTCTTGTGTATACGAAAGCCTTAGCTGCGTCTGTCGGTTTTTTTGTTTATGCGTGAGTGCTTTGGTTTTTTGTTTTCATTATTTTAGTATATTTGGCAGATACAAATATTTTATTTATCTTTTGTTAATTCGAGTAAATAGAATTTTCTCAATTTCTACTCTCTTGTTCGCTTTAAAGTGCTGCTTTGACTTTTACATGTAACTTTACATAATATTTGTTTTATTGTTTTTTTTTTTTACTTGACGATAGGTTATAAAATAAAAATAAATGATTTTTAAAAAATTTTTGTAACTAATCTCAATATTTAAAGTTGAAATGATTAAATATAAAGATACAAAATTTTAATTATTAAAACATTCTCTAGAAAAGGTATACAAAATATCATAGGAAATTCTATAACTCAAATCAATTTGCAATTATGGAAAAAAAAAAACTGAAATTTTCTTTTTTATAAGGAAGTAATTTTAAAGGAAAATAATTTAAAGATAATTTTTTATATAATTTTTTAAATAAACTTTCATGTTATTTTAATAATTAACTATTATTTTTCATTTAAAACTCATAATATTAAGTGTATTTAGTTATTTAATAATATATAAAAATTATATAAAAAACTACGTAAAATTGCTGTTTTTATATCACTACCCAATTGTAAATTGGGAAGAGAAGAGTTGTTGTAGTGAGGTGCATTTGAACATTTAACAAAATTGTGGGGCCGTAAGGTAAGAAAAGAAAACATCTGGTACGTTAAAGTTCAAGACTCGGCGCCCGCCTTAAATGGGGACATCAAAATTGCACTTTACCCATATAAAACACCAGAATGTCCTCCCAATTTCACTTGCTCGCAAAGGACCTTCCTTTGGGATTCAATCCGTAAGATTTCCTCATCCCATTTCTATCTTCCCCTGTTCATATAATTCCCATAAACAAATTTATGTTTATTGGCTCTTTTATTCTTTTGTTTTTCTAAGCTTTTGTGTTTCTTCTGTGCAAAGTTATCCCTGTTATGGTACCATTTCTAGATCTGGGCATTTCTTTCTTGTGCTAAAGATATCTGTTTCTGGGCATTTCTTTCTTGTTCTTAAGATATCTGTTTCTGGGTATTTCTTTCCTGTACTAATTTTCTTAAGATAATTTGATCTTTGTTATATCTGTTTCTGGGTTTCTTCTTGTTTCGCTGTTTTTTTAGGTTGCTAACTTGAATTTTCTTTAGCTACAGACTCTAGCTTTTTTCCGTGGTGCTGCTTTATACAGGGGTGCCTCTAGATTACTGGTATGTTGGTTGTTTTTAATTTTTGCTTGTTCTTACGTTTATAAATGATTTCCTTCTCTTGTAAAGTCTTATTCTTTTACTATTCTGTTTGCGCTTGCTCTTTTCTTTTTTAATTGCATAGTTTTCCCTATTTTACCATCCCTCTATATTTGTAATCCGGAGAAGTTGGTTAATATTGGTTAGTTTTAAAGATTTTGAAGGGAACTCGATTCGGTATCTGTTAATGAAGTGTCAACCGTCTGCTATTATGTGTTTACCTTTACTCAGTCTTCTTTCCTTTAAAACCAGCTACTTGAGTTCCATTTCCTTTTTCTGTCCCGTTAGCCTTTTTGATTATGAGCCAGGACATCATTTTCAGTGCTTGTTTAATTGGTCCTTACGTTGAATCATGTACTTTGAATTATGGACATGAAATTGATAAAAGCTTTAGCAGCTAGTTATTAATTATTTGTGATTGTTTTCAGGTTTGTAGTCATATTATACATGGAAGGTACTATAGTTAGAAGGGTCATTCCCTCGGATAATAGTTGCCTTTTCAATGCTGTCGGGTAAGGTTCTTTAAGTCCCAAAAGAGAAAAAATTTTGGACTTTGAGCTTCCCTTTTCAATTCCTTTATATCTTTGAATGACGTGAGTGTGACTATTGGGCTAAGTTAGATTGCTTTTCTTCTTTGCTTCTTGATATACAGATATGTCATGGATCATGATAAAAACAAGGCTCCCGAGCTGAGACAGGTTTTATATCATCTCTTATTTCTTAACAACATGCTTGGTTTATACCATTCTCAATCTCTTTTGATTATCTCTCTTCTCAATAATTAGATATGTTATTTAAAACTTCAAACAAAGTTGTATGTCAATTTTGACAACGTGGAATGCATGGCTTAATAGTTCTAGTTGATATATGTGTGAATTAGTATGAAAGAGTTATTCTTGCTTACCAAATTGGTTGTCCAGAAAATATGGCTTCGGCTTAGTTCGTCTTGGTATATAACAGGAGCCCCTTAAAATCGAACTCTTTATTTGAAAGCCATAAAATTTATGTGGTTAGATAGTTAACTGTTGATGCCATGCTATCTTTCTTATCATTTTCTGGCCCCATGATTTTTTTGAAGGTTATAGCTGCAACGGTGGCAAGCGATTCAACAAAGTATTCTGAGGCTTTTCTTGGGAAGCCAAATGAAGAGTATTGTGCTTGGATTCTTGACTCAGAGAAGTGGGGAGGTTTATGGAGCTTTTTCTTTTCATGCTTTCATATCAACAAAACTATTCTGATTTTTGAGCTAGAATGGTTCCACATACAGATAATGACTATATATGTAATTGATGTCACCTTTATTGCAAACATGGCCTTGCTTCTGGCTTGTTTAAATACTTAAGTGGTTACTTTTTTCGTGGTCTTTTGACATGTAACTGCATGCGAAAGAATTAAACGGCGTCTTATTAAGAAGATTTACCAAACATGTAGAAGAGGGTAATTGGTGCATGTTCACTTGAACAATTTGGGTTGTTGCCTGCTATGTATTCCATTGACCTTCCTAGCAAGTAGAAACTTTTAAAAAATCCCTCTTAATCTCCAAGAAGACAGAAGAGTAAAAAATGGAATAAAAGTAGGCTATTGGCTTCTTGGTTGGAGTTTCTTAGGAAGATATCCGCATGATAAGTGTCTATCACTTTGATGGCCATTTCTTAGTTGTTAATTCTCTAAAAAGCTACCTGTAGGTTTAGTTCAGGTTACTTTTTGAGATATGTTCTGCTGACTTTACCATTTAACATTTTATTATGAAGGTGCCATTGAACTTTCCATATTAGCAGACTATTATGGGCGTGAAATTGCAGCATATGATATTCAGACAACACGATGTGATTTGTATGGTCAGGTTAGAACTTGCTACGTGTTAAACTGTGCATTTGACTCCACTCAATCTCACACTATTGACTCTCATTCTTTCCCTTTACCATTGCTGCCTTGCAGGAAAAGAATTATTCTGAAAGGGTTATGTTGATCTATGACGGGCTTCACTATGATGCTTTAGCTGTATGTTGCTTCATGATCAATCTATCATTGTTATTCATGATCATTAATTTTACTTGCTAACTTTTACCTAAAGAAGGCATACACAGATAAAACATACTAAAAAAGAAGCACAATAACCAAATATGCATGGAATGGTGTAAGGGTACTGCAGATGGCAGGGTTTCGTTTCTTTGCAGTAAACCACTTTTAGTTATGCATTTTATGCCTATGTTCATCCTATATTAATTTTTTACCATCTTTTTCTTGCATGTGGAATTAACAGATAACTCCATTTGAGGGAGCTTCAGAAGAGTTTGATCAAACCATATTTGCCATACAGAATGGCAGAACCATTGGGCCAGTTGAAGGGCTTGCACTTAATCTTGTTAAGGACCAACAAAGGTACGTAATTTAAGGATCTTACAGAAGATTCATGCAACACAGAATTACAAGTAGTGCCTAAATATGAAGAACAATATTTGATGTCCTGAGTCTTTATATGCATGGATAGTTTAAGACTGGCACATGAAAATTATTGTAGCCAAGATATTTCTTTTTCTTTTTTCCACTTAACCTTTAATTTGATATCTTTTTTTGCCAAGATATTTCTTTTTTCCTTTTTCCACTTAACCTTTAATTCAATATCTTTTTTTGCTTAACCTTTAACTTGACATCTTTTTCTGCTTCATGGTTGCAATTTACACTCATTCGTAAAGATCACAATAGGTTCTATAAATTGCTGGCATTTCAATGTCATGTTTGCTTTTTCTCCCATTTTTTTAGGAAGAGGAGCTACACTGACACCGGCAACTTCACTTTGCGTTGTGGGGTGTGTCAAATTGGAGTAGTTGGCCAGACGGTTAGTCATCCTTCATTGAGTCAAATATTGCTCAAGTTTTTCCATGCAATTATCCAGCTTCACTTTATTTCTTCAAAATTTCACTTCTCATGGAGATTACGGTTATGCAAATATACAGCAGGCTGTGGAGCATGCACAAGCAACTGGCCATATCAACTTTCAGGAATATAGATGATCAGAACTGGTTAAGTGGAAAACGATTAACAGAAAACAGATTGCTTTCATTTCAGCAACTTCTTAAGAAACTTATTTATTTCATTGGATTTCATTTGTCAATGTTGAACTGTTGTTGTATAATGTGTTTTCAGCCTTATCTCACTGGTTTTCATTTATCAGTGTTGAACTGCTGTTGAATAACGTATGTTCTCCCAAATGGAAATGCAATTGGAAACATTACAGTGATGTTGGTTTTTTAGTTATACCACTAATGTAACAATTAGGAACCCTTCTGTGAATTTGCACATTTCATGGAAAGTGTCCTCCCTCTATGCTAATTTGTGTTCTTATTGTTGAAAAGAGGAATCTTTTCAGACCAAATTTCACCGTCCCGACATAGCTTCAAGAGCACGGCTATGTCGCCTTGGGGACGGACCCCCTAGCAAGCCGAGGGAGGCTAGCCTCCATGGCACCAATAAATTCTTTTTCTTTTTCAAAGATAAATTTATTATTTAGTTCTTACTTTTAACCATTTAAATTTTTTTCCCTTTTTTTAAGTTAAAATCAGTTTAAATTCATGTTGTTAGAGTTTAAAATTTGTAAAGTTCAGTATTTAGAATGTTGGGTTTTAGGCTTTTGAAAATTTAGTACTTAGATTATTTTAAGGTTTTGTATTTGAAGTGTTAAGGTTTAGATGTTTTAAATTTAATATTTTACGATTTTAAGGTTTAGATTTCTTAAAATTTAGTATTTAATGCGTTTTGAGTTTAAATTTTTAAAGTTTAAGATTTAATATTTAAAATATTTAAGTGTTTAATAATTTAAAATTTTTAAAAGAAAAAATTTATAAGACTTAAAAATAAAACAAAAAAATATTAGGTATTAAAAGCAAAAATAAAAATGTAATAGGGACCAATCGGCCTGGGGACCGATCGGTATCCCTGTGGCATTACTCTTCATACATAATGCAATGATTATATTTATGCGATGTACGGATGAATTCATCATTGGCCCCCAGATAACGGAAAAAATTGTACATGAATCCAATAATAATATTATTACATTTATGGGATGTGCGGATGAATTCATCATAGGCCACCAGATAACAGAAAAAATTGTACATGAATCCACCATCATCATCACCACCACCACCACCATCATCATCATTCTTGTTATTATTATTAATTGCTTCGAAATATAAATGTTTTAAATTTTTTTTTTGACCCTAAATTTAAATTTTTAAATTACTGAGTATTAATTCAATTAAGTTTTTATTAATAACAAATCTTTATCTTGTACCAACGATTTGTTGGTCCAAATGAAAGGAATTCGGTTTTCAAGATTTCAAGTTCGAATCTTGTGAATAAAAAAACAAGTATTAGAAAAATTTTCTTCTAATGAAATTTGACGTGACTCAATTTCGGATTAATTGTGACTTGATTCCAAATTAATTAAAATCCAATGTAATTATTGGATACCGAGAGGTTAATACCAAAAAAAAAAAAAAATCCTTATTTTGTCTTCACAGCCACTCCTTCAATTGCCATGGCTAGAGCTCCATTAATCAAACATTACTCCATAACCTCCAGACCCCGGCATCCATGGTTGCCAGTGGTAGGACTCCATTTGGGTATCCTTGGGCTGATTTTTTGGTCATGGGTTTCTTAGGAACTGGAGAAAGAGGCATGCCTGTTGCAACTTCCAGCAACAAAGAAGACATCAAGCAGAGTTTGTTGATGTCCAATGGTTGATTGATAAAGATCATGAAATAAAAAAATCATTTCATCCAACAAGTCCCAGCACATAAAGGTGAGAGAGGATTAATAAGAACTTTTAAGACATTTCCTAAGAAAAGTACAATATTACAAAGCAGAATTGTATCTAATCGTTCTAGTCTATCATGAATTTGTTTCTTTGATTACAAAGGGAGTGATTGAGCCTCCAGATAAATTACAGCTAAAGATGACAAGATAAACTAACCATTCCATCAAAGAACATTATTACCAAGATTTTGGCAACATGGGAACACAAAACTCTTGGTATGCCAAAATCTTGGTATGGTTATAGGAGCAAAATTGGAAAACCAGAGAATGATTAAATCCATCAGACCGATCATTTTATCCGTACTCTCAAGCTCCTGCAACTTTAAGTGGTTTTAAGTAGCAGCAAAAGGGTTTCCTCAAGTTTTCACATATAAACCACTTACTTTCTATCAGGCATATCCAGCGAGACAAATATGCTTGGCCATCCAACAATATCTACTATCTACTCCTATATCTTCTGATTAAGAACATGGCGCAACTGGACTTTCTGACTTTCCATCCTTGCCTCCAAAAGTCTTGCCTTCAAACTATTCTTTTGTGCACCACGATGCCATTCAATGCAACCCTTCATACCTCGCGTTATGTGAGGATGACCAGATTCAGGTGAACTCCATTGCCCCATTAAATCCAGAGGGCTAAACCCACCTTTACTTGATCCTTGATCTAGGGATGTGAGACTCACATTGGACTTTCTTCCATTTGAAAGCCTGCCATATGCCCCATCCACTGAGACTATTTTGTAATTCTCTCCATTATTTGAACATGACCTCCAAAGTCTTGCAATGGATGAAACCTTCTTCAACTGTCTAGCTGGAACAGAACAAACTTCGCTGATTTCTGAAATAGGACTTTCTCCACACCCATTTTCTTCCCATTCCATTCCACTCCCTGAGACATTGATGTCCCGGCAATTCTTGTTTACAGATGCAGCACTCCCATCCGGTGAACAACTTGAGCCCTGATCCTCAAGATGACTCACAGTTTCCCAGCCACTCTCATCTTCTTCTATGTCATCATCATGACCATTATATGCATTCACATTTCTTTTAATGTTGGCTCTGTTAATCATTTGGACTTTAGGGCTCACTGTATGAACTTTTGAGGCATGACTAGTGAGACCATAAGCAACACAAGGTTCAATTTCCCTCTCATTGCCTTTGGCTAAATTCAGATCTTCAAAAACAGAAAGAATGTCATCTGGGTTGGGGGGTTCATATGTGAATTCTTTGACATCTTGGACATTAACTGATGCAGCAGCCTGCCTAAGCGATTCTGCTTCTCTCATATCATTCACATCTGGGTTGGCACCTCTTGACCTTAGAAAAGTATTCAAATCTGTCACAAGCTTGATCATCTGAGAATACTTTTCTTCAAGCACCACCTTTGCATCAACCAACTTCATTTGAACACGCTCCTCCCGCCAGACCTCAGCCATCTGTAACATCTTTCTTTCCTCTTCCACTTCCTCTCGGAATTTTGTGGAGTCTCTCTTCAATGCTTCCACTTCAGCCTTGTCTTCCCCAATTTCCTTAGCAAGCTCATCACATACTTCTTCAATCAATTCTCTAGCCTTCCTTTCTTTTTCATAATCCTGCATATATCTCTTTGCTGATAACTTGGCGTCCGCAAGCTCATTAACCAATTTGGAATTGATGATTTCAAGCCTTTGGCGATTTTTCTTCTCTCGTTTCAAGTCACTTTTGACGTCATCAACGAATGCACGGATTTTCTCATGCTCTCTACTACGCCATGCAGCCCTTTCCTCGTTCACTTTCCTCAAGAAATGTTCAAGCTTCTTCTTGGAGGAACGATGCTCAGTCTCAAGCTCCTCAATGCGAGTTTGAGCTAGCTCTAGTTCAGCCTCGAGAGCGGAAACTATTGAGACAGCACTTACTTGTTGGTCAATATGCTTCATGCGGCTGTATATCTGGCGTACCTCATCTGTTGTTTTCAGGCAGACAGGATCCCACTTTGTCACCCCCTCCATTGCAGAGTTTGAAAACTGTATCGAAGGTTCAACCTAAAAGAGGAAGAAAAGCAGTTTAAAATTAATGATCAATGAAGCCAAGTAATGGACTATTGGACTTAAAGAAAAAGGAAGAGAGTAGGAGGGAGGGTATGGGACATGTGCTCATTTAATTTTAAAAAGGAACAGCTAAGGAAAACAGGAAGAAACTCTATCTAAGCAGGATGTATCACAAATAAGGAACAGAAATAAAAATGCTAATCCAATGAACCAAACACATGAATGCTTTATCTTGACAATCCAAGTTTTCATAATCTTGCATTGAGCCTTATAAGGGATCTCCCTAATCATACTTAGCATTGAGGTGAGAAACACACTCCTTTTAAGATTGGATTTCATTCAACTCATAGAATTCGGAATGTATAAGTAATAAATTAATCTCCATTGGAACTAATTATGTCCTTCGCTCTTCTTGTTTGTCCAGAGAAGTAAACAATTTCTTGGTCATGACAGTGCCTTTACACAATTCTAAGTGTCAAGGATGTAATTAATTGCCAACAAGAGACAACACATTCACTTTTCATAGAAATATCACACTATCACTCCTAAAAAAATCTGACAGATGTAGCATTACAAAATCAATGCAGAGAGCAATGCAAATAGTGGATAATGAGCAGCATGCACACCATGTGCAAATAGGATAAATAGTTTCCTCAATGTTCTGCCAATAATTCTGATCATTTTAAAGTTCAAGATTCAGTGAGAAGCGTACAGAAGCAACATACCTTGCAAAGGAGTCCATTCTTTGATCCAGAAACAGAACCAGGGCTGTGTAATGTATCCTGTTCTTCAGAATCATATAATCTGTCTTGGTGATTGTAAAGAAATGGAAGACCCTGATACACCTTATCAGGCTGCATCAAATGAAATAGAATGAACTCAAAACCTCCAAGATTAACATAGAAAATGCTAAAAAAATATTTCTAATATAGACAATCATCAAGATCAAAAAGACAGCAGCACATTATTCATTTCAGGCGGACAAAGGAGGAAACTAAGAGCATACTAGAGCATCTAATGATGACAAATTTGGCAATAAATCCCAGACAGAAAAATCATAAAGGAGACCTTTTGCAACAAATGCAATTGCAAGAAATTTGATCTACAATGTTGGTTTTTTGCCACACAGGCAGAATCCAAGTATAATTAATATTAAAACTATGATCTTTAATTGAAATTTTAAAAACTAAACAACAAGGAAATCATCACAGGAACAATGAGTAATGATGGCATTGCAAAGATCAGAAAATCATTCTCACTAGCATTACTTCAAAATTAAGCAAACAAGTTAGTAATTAACCAATATAAACCCCACTAATTGAAAGGGAAAATGGCTTCAAGATCACTCTTTGATCACAAAATTCACACAAAAAGGACCTCTAAAATGATGTGCAAACCACAAAAGCCAAACACCTAAGTTCCACAAAAGAAATCACCTGAAACCCTAACCGACGTCTCCTCCTCTTTCCTCCACCGACTGCGACCCTCTCAGTAAGCTGCAGCCTCCACAGTCCAGCAGCAAGCTTTCTCGCCGATACTTTCAGAGCCCCATTCCTCCGTTTCCCACCCCGACTCCCTCTCCACCCACTCCCTTCATCCCCCTCCTGCTCAACACCCCCACTCATTTCCTTCTCCCTTTCCCTATCCTCGACCTTCCATTTCAACAAAGGAGTGTCGGGTCGGCTCCGCCTCCCCACCCGCTTCCCCCGGGTCAAGCTCGAGTTCCGAGCCTTCCTCCGTCTCCTCGGCTCGAGATCCGCGTCCGACGGTTTCTTCCCCGAAAATGTCGCTGGTATGTTGGGTTTTCCAGTAATCTTCATTGCATTAAGCTTAAGCCATGACCCAACAAAACCCAGAAACGAATTCCTCTGATTACTTCACAGACAAAAAGAAAAAGATGGAAACTTGCGAGTTTAATTTGGGTGTGACAGAGTAAAAGGAAGTATCAGAAGGAGAGGCAACAGTTTAAAGATGTTCAAAGAGATGCTGTTGCTCCTGCTTCCACTTCATCTTGGTGGAGAGAAAATGAGGCTCGCAGATTTCTGTGTACAGATACTGTAATTATACAGGGAGAGATTTTAGGTGTTTTTTTTTTTTTTCATTTTTGACGTATTTTGTACGGTCAACGTTATCGGGGTCGTGGGTGTTGCAGTGCACTTTTACGGTGGCGTTTTGAGAGGCAGAAACGCGCTCCGCCCGAGTGCATTGCTTGGCGTTTTGCAGAGAGACGTTGTAGTTTTAAAATTATAAAATCTCAAAAACACGATGTCGTTTTTGGCTCTGTATATGGTTAAAGCGTCAGTTTGATCCATTTACTTTGATAAAAAGTTATTTTTTAATCCTTCGCTTAAAAAAAAAAAAGCTCTTTTTTTTGCCTCTAAAAGTTTGAAATTTGATCCTTTTTTAGTTTATTCGTTAAGTTTTAATATTAAATAATGAAAATTTTAAAGTAGATTGATTAAAAAGAGATTATTTTTTTTATTTTGAAATTTTCATTATTTAACATACCACATGTATAAAACTTAACAAAAAGACTAAAAATGAGTCAAATTTCTAACTTTATAGACAAAAAAATGGTTTTTCTAAATATAAGAACTAAAAACTAAAAAGGCTTTTTTATCAAAGTAAAAGAACCAAAATAAGGATTTAACATGCATATATTTTACGAAACCTTTCAATACTTGAAAATCACATTAAATTTCGATTAACATAGAATCAAGTTAGGTTAAACTCTATAATCGAAAACTTTTCTAACACTTGTTTCTCTATATATAAGATTCGCACTTAAAATCTTATTAAAAAAATAATAAGTTTCCTTTATTCAAATTAACATGCCATTAAGGTTTTTAACTTTGTATATTTTATAAATAAAAAGGTGATTTACAGTCTATCTTACATCTTTCACTATTGATAAGGAACAAATTCTCATGTATTGAGGTAGTTCTTCTCTATTAATAATTATAAAATATTTCACTCATATATAACATGCAAAAACAAGTTTCTCATTTGCAAATTACTCCTTCCACCACCCTTCTTTATTTTGTTTTAATTTCTAAAAAGTTGTTTGTTAATGTTGTTGGACCAAATTAGTATATATTAACTAAAATATCTTACTCTGGAGTAAGAGTAAACAATAAAATTTTTATACTATCAAACAATTAATTTGTAATACACCAAAATAAAAATAAATATAGAGATAAATTTTCTTAATTAAAGTATCTTTGATTAGTTGATATGTACTTTAGGAGTATTTCTTTTTTGGGCAATTTTAAGATCGCATTCCCTATATTGACTTAGTGCATTCAAGAAAATCAAATTCCTTAAATCTTAACTCTAAAATTTGAACCCTAGACCTAATTTAGAATATAACACTTATTTACCAATGGGTGCAATTCTTGAGTTAAATAAAGAGATAAGTTACATACACACGAATAAGTAATCTTGTTTCAATTATCATAGTTATTAATTTCTTAAATAGTTAAAATGATGATACTACATATGGTAGCTATAATAAATTAAACTTCTTAAATAGCTAGATTTAAACATCCACAATTAGCCAATGACTTAAGGAACTTAGTCGTCATCTTCTTCCGCTAGAAATAAAAGATCCTGAATTTGAGTCGCATGATATGCAAATAGGGTGATTTGAGTTGCGTGACATGCAAGTAGGGTGGAATAAGAGATGAGAGATAATTGCCTCCCATTGTGCAACCAAGATAAAAAAAAAAATCCACAATTATGAGAACTAGCCTTTTGACCTAATAATTCATCCTCAAACCTTAGTGTTTAAGTTCAATTGATTGGGAATTCAATTCCTATCAACTACTTGAAAATTTCCCCTTCTTCCATTATTTGTTCATAAAAAAAAAAAATTCAACAATTATAAGAATTACACAAGTAAATCTGTCCCTTTTTAAAGCTGTACATACAGTTACTTTAGGAAGGTATTTGAAATAACTTCATTGTATTTAAGAATCAATACAATTATTGTTTGGTTACTTTATGGTACATCATCAAATTGGCTACGTAATAGAGTAAAAGATAATTGTTATCTTTTCCAAATTTTTTTTTATATTTTTCAAATTTTGAAATTTGAGCTACTTAAAACCTCTTAAATTTTTCTCTTAAAATTTTAACTTAAATACTCTAATTTAAAATTTTAGACTTTTTATCAACTTATTGGAGCGACTTAGTCAGAAAAGTTGAAAAACCTTCCAAATCATCATAAAAAGAAATGAATTAATGCTTGGACATAAAGTTTAATTAGCAAGTGTCATGTGAATCTTAAATTAAAAGTAATCTTTTATCATGCTCAAACACTTTTAAAACGTTACACGTCCCAATTACTTCATACAAATTAACCCACCACATTTATTTATTGTACAACTTCTATACGTTTAGAACCCTAGACTTAATTAAACCTACTAATTCACATAAGATTAGATTATACAAATAAAATTTACATTTGATGATAAGAAAAATTCATATAAAATTATAAAAAGTACAAGAAATACTCTATTCTTTAAATCTAATTTATACACAATTATATTAAAAGTAGCATCTTTCATAAACTAGTTTGCAACAATGTAAGATAGTATTGTGGAGTATCTAACTCTCAAATTAATTTTTTTAAAAATATATAGAATGCAAATGGTTTTAGTACGCACGTAAAGTTTTGCTTAAAATATCAATTTGATTCCTTAACTTTTAAATTTATATTAAAATTATCTTTTAATTTTAAAAAATTTTAAAAAATATCAAAATTATTCTTAGACTTTAATTTTTAATACAAAATAGCTCTCAAACTTTAAAGATAATACCAATTTAGTGTTTAAACTTTGAAGATAAGTAATAGTTTAGTTCTTTGAATTTTGATTACAAATACCAATTTAGTTTTTCAATTTTAATTATATATCAATTAATATGTAAATAAAAATATATCGCGATGACAAAATGTAATTGTTTGATTTTTACACGTTATTAGTATTTTAAGAAAGAATTGAATTTATAGTAATGAAAGAACTTTTTAGGTATAAAAATTAAAATTTAGGGATAATTTTAATATTTTTAAAGTTGGGGGATAATTTTAGTATAAATTTAAAAGTTAAGGAACTAAATTGATATTTTAATCTAAAGTTTTCCAGTGCCCCATATGCTGGTTTAGAGCTTTTCCACCTATATTTAATTTGGGTTCCTATATATTCAATGAGTTCATTAACTATGGTAGTACCATCTATATAATGTAGGAACTTAGAAATCAATGGTTTCATATTTTAAGAATAATTCTCGAGAGCATCTTTTATAGGTACTTGCATTATTTTTTATCTACTACAAATTAAATTACCATTCAAAGTGGTCTTCCTTTTTTCTCTTTGTACGTAGTACCATAAATTTCATTATGGTCTTGATCGGTCGGTTGGTCTAAATATGTATTAATTGTTAGAATACCGTCGCCCCATTTGAGGGCCTCATAGGAAGAAATTTTGCATCCAACAATAATTGTTGGACCTCTGGCTTTTATGTTGAAGACAACATTGTCCTGGTTTTGTAAATAATTTAATTTATAAAATAATTCTTATTTTACAATTTAAATTGTATTAAATTATAAAATAAAAATCATCAAATAAAAAAGTATTTCTCAAATTTTCAAAGATTCATCTTTTTTTATTTAATAATTTAAATTATATAGTTCTGAACTATATTATAATTTTTTGTTTGTAAAAACAGCATGAAACATGACCCCAAATAGCTGATGGGCATGCAAATTAAAGCTAAACTACTTTCCTTTGTGGTCC